TGGGACATGGGAGAGCTTAGGTCCTAAAATTATTGAACTCGATATTGAGTCCGAAGGGCTGCAGGGTCCCCAAGCGGCAAATGAGGATTTTGCGGAATCGGATTCCCGGTAGTTGGCATTAGTGGCCTTGGTTACAGGTCTTCAAAGCGCTTCAAAAGAAATCTTGACAAAACGTGTACAGGAATCGCCAAAGAAACGCTAATTACAGTACGTTTGATTCTTATCAAACATTTCCTCTTTCTTCAGACACTTTCATTTGATCGTATCTTGCTAATGACAGCGTGGTCCGGATGGCTCCAAGTTTTGGGATGACTTTCTTGCGGTGTGTTGGGTGCAGCCAGCCGTTAGATGGCGCGCTTACGCACAGAACGCCCTCTCGCCGACACTGTCTCTAACTCTCGGCTCCTCGACCCTTCTCCCGGTGCGTACATTCCACTCATCCACTCCGTAGTTCCGTTCCTTCATCTCTATTTCCCACCACCTCGTCGCTGTCCTTCTCCCGTTCTTCCAGATGACCCCGCTCCCCTTTCCAAATTATCCAACCTCACTCAAATATCGAGGTGTTTTCTGATGGAACCTTAGGGCTTTCATTGCAAATGAACTTTCTGTACCTGCTGTGGAGTACAGCAGGTACTCGATAAGCGATACTGAGTTTGCTAAAGAGAGGCTCTTTCGGATTGAGGATGAGATAGGTGAATGCAGTTTGCCAAAAGATTTAAAAAAAAGGATTCTGCTCATTGCCCTACTTTGTTCACAAAAGGATCGGCTGTTTTCTTTTTAAAATTGTATTCTCTCGGCTTGACAACTCAATTTGGACGTAATCAAAAGAAATGCAAGTAGTCAAGACCAGTCCCTCTCCCTGGGCTGGGTCACTGTCCAGGATCCAGTCCCTCTCCCTGGGCTGGGACATACCCAGGATCCAGTCCCTCTCCCTTGGCTGGGACACTGTCCAGGATCCAATCCCTCTTCCCTGGACTGGGACGCTGACCAGGATCCAGCCCCTCTCCCTGGGCTGGGACACTGACCAGGATCCAGTCCCTCCCCCTGGGCTGGGACGTACCCAGGATCCAGTCCCTCTCCCCGGGCTGGGACACTGTCCAGGGTCCAGTCCCTCTTCCCTGGGCTGGGACACTGACCAGGATCCAGTCCCTCTCCCTGGGCTGGGACACTGTCCAGGAGCTGACAGGGGTTCCGTTCCAGCAGACACCGAGAGCTGCACCAACAACAAATGAAGAATGAAAGGCGGCAGCAGTTTGGAGAATAGGGGAGCTGCGCTGGGTTTCTGCGACCTGCAATTTTTCTGCGCGAACGGGGCGAGATATTTTGCCTGTCTGCCTTTACAAAAAGTGGTCCCTGACGGATCGCGGGGTGATTTGGGGCTGTGTTTTCGCCAGCAGGAATTTCTTCCCGTCACCTCGACCTGGGCAGCAAACAAAAACCAATCAAGTCAGGCATTTAGAATTGACACAAGGCCAAACGACGCTGCGATTTCTAACGCTTTGATTTTTGGGGTGCCTGCAAACGGTGTGTTAGCTTAGGAAGAGATCCCACCGCACGGTTTCTCTCAGCCACAGGGCAAATTACAATCTTGAGCATCGGCCACTGGCATGTTTAAAAGTCAGAGGATCCTGACACAATTCAATTTTCGCGGGGAATGTCCACTTTGTTCAGTTACAATGCAGATTGAAGAGGGAGATTTGGAAGTTTATTTCACCTTAACCAGGCACACAGAGTGACTGGGTTACAATTTATTCAACCCTCTACCTTCCTCTCTGGAAGGGTTTAGATGCCTGACATTGGCTAGAAGCAGTTACTTAATTTCCAATATTATTCACCAGTAACTATCGTTTAAAGATTTGACCCGTTTGAAATAAAGTGTCCTTTTAGAGGGCAGAGAGAGAAAGTAACTATTCGATATTAACCTTTCATTCACGTGAGATCTCCAGAGAGAAGAAAGTTTTTTTTTAAATATATTTAAAATATCGCAATCATTTCTCAAAGCTGCCCGGAGCTTTGATAAAGAGAATGGAAATCTGTGGCTCTCGTGTAGAGCGGCTCCAGTAATAAGTGGACACCCGCTCTGTTTCCAATCGGTTGCAACCAGAACTATATTCGCAGTAAATTCATTTAAAAAAAGATTCCCGGGATAACAATGCCGTTTTAGCAGTCTCCCGTTGTCGATCCTGGAGATTTTAACGGGAGTTTAACAATAGTCTTGTCCAGATATGATGCAAGTTGCGAATGAATTTAGATTAATTTAATTTGACAAGATTCTGCGCCTGTATTTGATGTGGCCTTTCAGGGTCCCTGCGGAAATATTGCCTGAAAGTGGAATGTAGTTGTTTTCCTTTGTATTAAACCTTTCCATCCACTGTTACATCGAAACAGCACACCCTACCCTCATATCACTCCCACTGGCGAACAGCCTTCCCTCTCTATTCTAACCCACAAAGCCATGGCCAACATGGGACCCACATCAGCCCCAGCGCTGTCTACAACATGCTACTCCTCAGCAGGAGTTGGATGTTTAAAGTGCTAGTACTGGGCCATCTTTCCAGCTCACCGCTAAAAACCTTTCCCCCCCCCCCCCCCTCCCCTCCACCTGCACACATTAGCGTTTCAAAGGGAGCTGTTACATTAGAACTGAATCTGTACAAAGGCGATTCCCCATCCGTTTGCTGGACCTTCAGGTCCATCGCCTCCTCCTCCAAGTCAAAAGTACAGAACTGTTCGAATTCGATACAGCAGGGCTGGCGGCAACTGGAACTCTGTGTTTTAGCCGGTTTTCATTCCGGTTGAGGTATTCCAGCCGCGACATGCCCATTGCTAATGTTCAAGTATTTCCCCTGAAATCAGGGTTGTAAAGAGTTTCCACAGACGCACCAAATCAAAATACGAGTATCTACAGCTGATTTCATTCCTGCATGTGTTGCTCATTTGACGAGGAGGTGTTTGAACTGGGTTTTAAACCGCAGGCTGCAAATAGCAGAAAGTGGGTTTTAAAAATGCTAAATCTCAGTGTCTGAGCACTGTGGGGGCGGAGGCCTCAGGGGTTGGGTTTGGGGGGAAGAAGGGGCGTCGTTTCCAGAGCTGGGGAGAGCTGTTAGTCTCCAGCCTTTTGCTCAACCCAGTGGGGGAAACGGCGGACCCGGGACAACGTTGCGTATGGCTACCTGTTGTATTAAGGAGAGATGCGTGCATTCTGAAACAGTGTCAAAAAGATTGTTTTTACAAGTTAATCCTGTATCAGCCAACAGAGTAGGGTGCTCTAATTTGGTATAAGGTCCTGTGTTTCGAAGGTTGTATTCAGATGTGACATACTATCATTTTTTGTTTTAAAAAACCCCATACCCAATTTAAACATCAGTTACATAATGCTACAGCATCATTACCAAAATTCTGCATTATAATCGCAACTCTGTGTGTGTGTGTGGGTATACCTGCGTGTATACATTATCTGGATTCACTCCAACATTACCCCCAACCCGCTCCACCCGGGACACAACCTCATAGCTGGAGGAGCAAAAACAGAAGTTGCTGGAAAAGCTCAGCAGGTCTGGCAGCATCTGTGAAGGAAAAACAAACAAGAGTTAACGTTTCGTGTACGGCGACCCTTCCTCAGAACTGATGGTGCCTGGGAAAACGTCAGTTCATATGCAGAAAATAGGGGAGGGAGATGGGGTAGGGAGTAAACGATAGGATAGAGCCTAAAGAGAGAGAAGAGCAGTTGGACAGGCAAAGAGTTGACCCCATTTCTGAAGAAGGGTCTAGGCCCGAAACGTCAGCCTTCCTGCTCCTCTGATACTGCTTGGCCTGCTGTGTTCATCTAGCTCTACATCTTGTTATCTAAGAGTTGATAACGATCAGGCTGGGAGGGTGAATAGTTGTTAATGGGGACCGTTAGTGACTAATAACAGGTAGTGTAATAATGGCAGGCTACGTAGTAATAGCTGGAGGCCCCGAATCTATTACACGGTAGCCCTTACTGCTACATTGTACACCGCTCTCATTGATGACAAATAATTCTATTGATTATTATTTGCCCCAAGGACTTCTTAATTTTTATAATAAGTTTTCAAAATAAATATATTATAGTATTAATGTGCATAGTATAATATATGTATATTAAGCTCGATTTTTGCATTTGCCAAATTCTGTAGCACAGATTCCATGAAGTTGCTCCAGCGTATCTTAACAGCTGTTCCTACACAGGGAGCTGTAGCTCCATGTGAAGTTGTTATGAGGGGTGGGGGGAAGGGGATAGATTTTATTTTTGCTTTCTATGATATCAGTTCAGTCAAATGGACCCCGGGCAACCTCGTGGGATTTGTTTCAGAAATTGCCCAAGCCCAGGACAGTTTGAGAATCTGTCGCTCAGAACAACAAAACATTAAACATTTCATCCTTTTAATTTTCCATTAGACCAACCCAGAAGAAGGAAAGGAAAAGTCCAACGGGACAGGCCCGCGTTTTGAAACAGTAAATTCTTTGTACCTTTACCGCTTCGTTGTACCAAATATGAAAACAAGAACAAAACATGATTTACCCTATTGTCAGCTCCTTCTGTCCATTACACAGAGACAGACCAACCCATTGGTTTAGGGGGGAGGGCGGGGCTTTCCACGCCATATTTGGTAGTCATCGCCCATCCTCTTCCCCCCACCCCCTCAGCAGCTCCGACCCTTTCGGCTGGGGGATAGGGGGGGGAAGGCGGCGGCGAGATTTTGTTGCCTTAGGGGAGAGAGAGGAATTTGGTGGGGTATCTGAGACGGGGTTGGGGGCTGTTGAAATGTGAATTCCAACAGGGACAATCGGCTCCCATTACTGACTCCCCACCACCACCAAGCCTCCTCTGTGTCCACTCCTCCTCCCCGTCTTCCCAGCCCGAGATCAGAGAACACGCATCCCTCCCACCCCCACCCCCCCCCCCTCCCCCCCCCCCCCCCCCCCGCCAACCCTTACCAAAAAAAAACAACCCAGCATCATTCACAAGGGAAGAACTCGGCGGAGCAACATTACTCATTCATTCGCTGGGACTGGCAGGCACGACGTTTGTTAGCACACAGACACACACACACATATTACACAGGGAGAGAGAGAGAGAGAGAGAATAAACTTAGTGGTTCCAATTGGATGATGACACTTGGGTGTTTCAAAGCCCGGTAGCTCGGTTTTAATTTTGTGTTGTCAAACCTCACCTGCTACCGCTTCCTCGCCAGCCCTTTCTGACCCCCACTTCTTGGGGGGGGGGGGAGGGGTGGGGGTAGGGGGGCATTTGAGGAAATACTTTACTTTCTGCGGATCACCAACCGGTAGTAAGTGAGTGAGTGTGTGTGTGTGTGTGTGTGTGTGCCTCCCTCTCTCTCTCTCTCTGTGTCTCCCCTTCCTCTCTCTCTCACCCCCACCCCCTCCTCCCTACCCCTCCCACAACTGTGTGTGTGTTTGTGTGTGTGTGTGTATGTGAGAGAGAGAGAGACAAGCGGACCCCATCACAGTTCGATATCATCACCGCAATTTTGCTCTGTGTTTTCACGCACCGCTCTTGGCGGAGACTTGAGTGCGTTTGGAACATCTTCAGCAGTTTTCTGGCGGCGGCGGCGGCGAGCAGAGACAGAGTTGGGGGGTTTTGGGGGGGGGGTGGGGTGGGTGGGACGGGAGAGCGAAGGAAAAGAAAATCCCAAATCCAAACAGAAAAGCGTGTTTCCATGTTCGGTATTCAGGAAAACATCCAACGAAGCGGAGGCAGCATGAAGGAAGAGCCTCTGGGAAGCGGGATCAACGCTGTCCGGTCCTGGATGCAAGGAGCCGGCATCATGGATGCGACTTCGGCCGCTCAGAGGTAGGCAATGCAATTTCTCTCAATTTTGAGCACGCACGCACACACTGTATTTGTGGCAAACCTATTTACAACCCGACCGTAGATCTGGCGAAGCTCTTTGTAAGTCAGAGACAGGCCACATACATTTTTTTTTTCAAATTCTGACATATTTTCAGCAACGTTTGATTCCCAATCATTTACCGTCCCACTGTGTGTTTTTTTTTGTTGTTTTCTTCCTTTGGGCTGTCGGGGTATCTTTTTATTTGATGAATTGATTACAGTTGAACGCCCCGTCCATATTTACCTTTTCCCCGTTATGTTGACTGCTTCAGTTCAAGACGCTAACTTTGTTTTAAACCGTTCAACTTAAAAGTATAGATGTTTAAAAAAAAATAAAATCACGCTTCTTCTAACACGCCAGAAGTTAGTTAAACATCTCACCACCGTTGACACGACGGTACAACTCAATTAGGGCATGTTAGGGTGTTGGGATCTTCAACTTCTCCAGTGCTTTTGAGAATTTTTTTGTATTTAATAAAAAGGATGCAGATTGTATTTTTAGTCTACTCTTTGGAAGGGGCGATTTTGTAGGCTGTTTATGTTGGGTTTTTTTTAGTTTCTCTGGCTGCTTTCTGTTTCCCCGACTCATCCCGGTCTTGTCTGCCCGCAGTGGCGTTGGTCTGGCCCGGGCTCACTTCGAGAAACAGCCGCCCTCCAACTTGCGCAAATCCAACTTCTTCCACTTTGTGCTGGCTCTCTACGACCGCCAGGGCCAGCCGGTGGAGATAGAGCGGACAGCTTTTGTGGGTTTCGTGGAGAAAGATAAAGTAAGTGTATTGTGTGTGTGTGTGTGTGTGTGTGTGCGCGGAACGTAGAAGTTTGTAGGAAACGACCGGGGGCCAAGTTTCTGGGGGTGGAACTGCTGAGTTGCCTGAGCTAAAGCGCGTTAAAAAATTATCTCCAACATTGGCTTAACTCTCTGCTTTATACTAAAACGGAGACTTTGAAATGTATTTGGTATCGTTTCTGTAATGAAAACATTAACTTTACATGTGCAATGTATATTCGTATGTACAGAGCCCTTTACATATACAGTTCGATATAAACACATACCCTAGAGAAACTTAACTTTGCTCCGTCTCTTACATTCAAATTGGGGGAAAATAATCTTTTTACCAAAACATTCAGATTTAAATATAACAAAATCAACTAAGGACTGATTGAGTGAGGGACTGGGTGCTCCGATGAGAATCTCGCGTGGTTAAACCCTGACAACTTTTCTTTGCAAGGTATCTTAATTGAGATTTCACTCTATTTAGCACAAATTTCTCCCTCTCTCTCTCTAAAATCCGGCATCTTTAAAAATAATGTTTCAGGAAATCGGTGGTGAAAAGACCAATAACGGAATTCACTACAGATTACAGCTTCTCTACAGCAATGGTAAGTCGCTTTCTGTCGCCATATGGTAGTCGCTGCTAACTTGGAGCTAGCTCTTCGGGAACGGGAGCAGGCATAGTTTAAATTCAGTCTCTCCGTAACTTGCACATCCCTCCTCTGTTACTTGTCCCTTGTGCTGGAACTTGCATTTCATATCGCTTAGAAGCTTCAAGCAGTTTAAACTCACACTTTATCCTTCCCACTCTCTCTCTCTGTCATACATATTCACTCGTTTTCTTTATAAAATGTTGGCTTTATGTATCTCACCGAAGTCCCTTACATCTGTCTCTAGACTAGGCTTAGAATTTTTTTTTTAAAAAATTGAGTTTTAATCATTCGACTTGCGTTTGAGAGAGTTTTGGAGAGTGGTCCAGAAAGCCAGTTTTGAATCAGTGAAGTATTTATACTGTCCATGTTAACAGCACTCCCCTCCTTCGTCCGCCTTTAATTTCCCCCTAAGCTTCTGAAAAATCGCTACCAGCCGCTTTTTCCATGTGCAGCAACACTTCCACCCGGATTTACTGCTCTGTTCCTGGGTATTTTAAGGCTGGGGAATGTTCGCCCCTGAATACGGGAAGAATTTGAGGAGGGAGCCGGAGGTACAACCTACAATTAAGGTATTGCTAAAAGACATTACATTTACCGAGTGAGGCCTTCAGACTGACAATCTGCAATATGTTCTGATATTTAGGGATAAGGACCGAGCAGGATTTGTATGTTCGCCTCATCGACTCGATGACAAAACAGGTAAGGTGATATTTCACGTAAAATTATCAGGAATCGTATATAAATAGAAGCATGTAAGACGAGAACAAGGTTTGAATGGTGTCCAGAGGGTTCAGATTAAACTACAGGTCCTGGAGCTAGCGAAGCTAATGGCACTCCGACAGGTTATGAAACAAAACTGCCGGAGGTTTATAATTATTCTGAAACGTTCAAAGTCAAGGAAACGGTTTCCTGACATCGGTCTGTTTTGGGGAAGTTCAGGCAGCATCAGGCCATGCTGCGAGCAAGTTAAGAGGTCCTATCTTTCTGACAGAAAATTTAACAAAAAAAAATTAACAGGAACAAAAAGAAAGTTTTGTTCCCGAGGCAGAGAGGGGTGAGAGAGGATGTACTGGGAGAGGGGAAGAGGGAGTCTCTCCACTCTGTTAACACTGACAGAAGGAAGACCTCGCCTCGACAGAGACAAGGAAGAGAACTCCTCTCCACTTTGGAGGTGGCGCTAGGTGTTAGAATGTCCCCTCAGTGTCGATCCCCCGCCCTTCAAGTTGTAGGAACGTTAAAACGTGCAAATATGTCGGGGCACTTTGAGTGTAAATCGTTGAAGGATTTTTTTTTTTTTGCTTTCGTATTTATGCAGACCGATGCCTTTAATTTCACTCCAGTTCACAGGCAGTGTGCGTGTGTGTTTGTGTGTTTTTAACCGGGTGCGCGAAATAGCCGCATCTCCATACAAAACTAGAGAAGTTGTTCCGTGTAAGAGCAACCTCCGGGCACATTGACTTACCTGAATGTTGTGCGTTTCGCCAGGTTAGCTGGCTCTCCCCTTATCGTTAACCACTCGTCCCAAGGGTTAAATAGTCCAGTTTGTTACCAATGAACATTGCATCCAGCAGCGACTGTGAATGTACAGTCCCTCCACCCTCCCCACCCCGATTCAGTTAATCAACAGGCAACGCTTTACCCGAACGACAAAAGTCGCTTTCGAGTTAATTCCAATTTAATTTCAGAGTTGATATCCTTAATGATGATAAAACAATTCTGCCCCTGGATGTTCTCACGGTTTATGGGCTCAGGGGTGTCAACTGTGTCCCAGCACGGAGTACAGCAGAACTGTAACCCTGCCAGCGACACCAATGCAGTGCAAAATTTGCCCTGTCTTTTAAAAGGGCAATTTCACGGCGGCTGCAAACGGACATCAGTTCAGACGATTTAAGAAAAGAATTGTAATGTAACAACGTTATTTTTGTTTTGCTTTGTGTGTGTGTGTGTGTGTGTAAAATCTTCACGCTCACATCCCCGCTACGTTTACTTCTGAATGTGTCTCGTTTCCTGCCTAAGTCAAACCGTAAGATCAACAGACAACTCTTTGGGATGAAAATGTCTCCACGGATCGTTTGATACTTTTTTTTTCTGCACGCGATTTCCTGCTATTGAGGTCTGTCAGACCAGGTCGAACAGAGAAAGAAGAGAGCTACGCAGTCAGAGAAAAGAACCAATTTTAACTCTAAAAATATTGATCCGCATTCAAACAAATATGTTTTTGTTTTGAACAACCACAAAAATATACGTATGATCTTTGTTAAACTAATCGTTACGCTGTTACAATGCAACAGCAACTTCTTGGCGAGTATTTCTCTATACACCCTACCTCTGCTTGGAGTGTAGTCTTGCTAGAATGTCGAATTAACTCGAGTTAACTTTTTGTGTAATGATGTGGACCCTCTGCTGTTGTTGGACAATTATTTTCTGTTCCTCCACGCCCCCGCCACCCCCCCCCCAAAACACACTACCATCCCATTAACCCACACGCAAACAGATTATCCATTTTTTCTTTGGAAGATAGCCCTAAATGGAACAGATTAGGGTTTCTTCTGCCTGTGAGAGACGGAAGACACTGTCCCCTTTAAATCACAGCGATTTCCCTGAGTACTTTGTAAAATAAGGTTGAAGTCCCGCGACTGTGCTTGACCTGCAAGAATTTGATTATCCCGAACCCATCAGACTTCTGGAGTGGCCAGGCTTGATGCTTTATTTTGTTGAAATTCTAGTTCTGTTTCACACACACACAAATGCACACAGTACCATTTCTAAACCGTGGCTGTGTGTGTGTGTGTGTGTTTGGGGGGGGGTTGCTTAGAACCCACATAAATCTAGTCAGACGGAATATTATTCTAAATGCCTACTCACATGCTCTGACGGTATGTGTAATGTAAGAATAATTATCTGTGGGCATTAAAAATGTATGAAGTATAAAAAATCCCAGATAGCACTGTGATCAAACACATTGCTTCCAAGGCTGTATTCCCACTGCTGGATTTAATATATTTCTCTTGTTAAATCATTTATTAATATATTGCTTTTACAATTTATTTTATTTTATTTATGTTAAAGCCACACTAGGAAAGGTGATTAGTTCGCTATTTTTCCTGAGTGTTCTTTCGCCTCTGTTGTTGTCTTCTCTTGTGCGTCTGCAAGGGAACCAGGTTAAGCTTTCACACGAAAACAGAGCTGGCGGAAACAACAATAAAACACATGGGAACAGTTGGGGTGGCATACTGAACGCAGCTCACCATCTGTCGGCGAATATCTCTCCAAATCTGCTGCCCCATTCTCTCCATCTCAGCTACGCTTTGTCTGCGGCCCACAGTCAGCGTAACACGTCCCCGGATCCCCTTACCCTCTCTCCCACCAGCCTCCCCAGCCCCTAACCCACTGCCATGGCTAGATATCTCAAAGATTCCGAATCCCGATTGTACCTTTTTCAAAAAAAGACAACAGGACATGACATTGTGTTCGGCCTCCTTGTTGATACACAATATTGACACGCGACGCTGCATTCTGTATGGGCAACAGTGAGGTGTATCACAGTTCACTTTGTCGAAGAATTTTTTTTGGCAAATGTGGAAATTAACATGAAATTAGCGAGCCGTGTAATGTGCATTCTATGCTGGATTTCCATTCTGTTCCATTGTTAACATTGGTGTAATATCGGAAATATACCAAGTTGCACAGTATAAAATGCCTCACCAGGATAATTGTAAAGTCCAAGAATTAGATAGTAGCTGGAGTTCACCGAATGCGTCTATATTCACAATTTGATAACTGTAACATGACAAAACATTTTGCGTGGCCATCTAGTGAGAGAATCCTAGCATCTTGGAACTGCACCCTTCTCCCCGCTCTTATTAAGTAAAGGAAGGCCCACACTCCCTTTATTTTTGTAATGCCCTGACTTACTCAGAGTACAGCCTGCCTGTATAAAGTGGCACTTATTTTCAGCATTGAATGCAGATGAGTAACTGATCACCGTAAGGATGCTGTCTTCATCGGCAAGTTCTTGGAACGGCTGGTGATCATTGCCGCACCGGGGACTACAAAATTACTGCCAACTTTTGCAAACTCCCTTTATGGACGATCTGTAAAATGTTCCTTTCGGAAGTAAGGAAGATGGAAACGTCTCGCTCAGATGTGAATTTGCCCCGTGCAGCCCCGTCTTTCGGACCCAGGCTGGCCTTGAGTCTCTTTATTTCGCCAGGAAATGTTGGCGAGTGCTTTGCAGTTTTAACCCAGCAGGAACTCTGGATTCGCCAGCATATACACACAAAAAAAATGAACCTAGAGAAATAGTCGGGCAATTAACATTGACCAAGTGAACGGTAACATGTCAGGTTGAAATGTAGGCAAATCTCCTGTTTAGATACCTCAATTTATTTTGGATTTAAATTCCTATCGCGCTTGAGTAAGTTTGGCGGACATTGATTAAAAAAAGTAGATTTACAGGTATGGACTGAGATCCTTAGCAAATACTAGAACGAACGTGAATACAGACTGTTAACATGCAAAATATAAAACTAAAGAGAAGGAATACGGTGAAAGGAAAATGCAGACTAACAAATTTTGTCCTGTTTCGATCATATTTTTTTCGGGAACATTCAGTGACAACACTATAATAAAATACAGCACATTACAATGTGTTAAGTTGGATATTTCCTAACAACTCTACTTACTGTATTTTAAACAAAACAGTTCTGTCCTGCAAAATGTTAAAAAGGTTTATCTGGCACTCAATACTTTGATGCAGAGAAGCTAGAACCTCTGTACGAGTGAATGTGGATCTGGGAATATCTCGATGCTATTATCCCACGACAACGCTTGACAATGTAACGGTTATGTTACTGAGCAGAGGAGTGGTGAACCCAGATGTACTGGAGTTCAACCCCCACCATTGCGAACTAAGAAATTGTATATACATTTAAAGAGGATTCCAGCCTCTCGCCAATGTGATTGACTCTGAACTGTACTCCGAATCCGCATAGCAAACCCCTCAACATGGCCGGGAAGATTAAATAAGTTCTGTTCTTTTCAATGGTGTTCAAATCCTGACATTAGGTAACAAACGTACGTTCTGCGGCAGCAGAGGGGAGAGAGGTGAATCAGCACTCGTGGTATAACAGTTTCCATCTCTTCCAGGCTATCGTGTACGAGGGACAAGACAAGAATCCAGAGATGTGTCGAGTCCTTCTCACGCATGAGATCATGTGCAGGTAAGGAACCTCAGAGATGTCCTAAAGTTTCTCCCCAAAAACTTGTTTGTTTTGTTCCCAAAGCGTTGACTAATTTCCATTTCAGCAGCAATTAAACAATATACTGAGCTACATTGGCTGTACCCTATGGACCACAGCTTCAGCCGCAGTATTTTGTTTCGTTCTGTTCTGTGTGCTCAGTAAAGAAGCAAACCAAAGCGACGACTTTTCAGAAATCCAACTGCAGGATTTGAAATGTTTTCCTAAACTATTTGAAAGCATATATATTTTTAAAACTACTTTTTAAAATTCAAATTAATTTCACCAATAGTTTGCGCCTGGAATGTCGGGCAGACTTGAGTTTTTACCATTCTCCTAGTATGTGGCAGATTATCATCGCAAATATTATTGTTGATTCAAAAAAAAGCTCGAGTAAACAATAATCTCCATTTTCCCCAGCCCCTCATTTATTTTCCTCTGTCTGGTGCCCGTGCTGCAGTTTAATTGGTTCTCCGAATTTTCTTCCCCTCCAAACCCCATTCCAAACCGAGTTAGCAATTTTTTTCATGTCTCGACTGAAACAGTGAATGGGGCGGGCAGCTAACAACTGAATATGTCAGATATACTGATCTGTGAGCTGAATCTCATTCGAAGGTCCTCTGCCGGCCTTGTGCATGCACTATCCAGCAGGAGTCACTCAACACTGGTCAGGAACAGGAAACCTGGCTGCTATTTTCCCTCTTTAACCCTAGGGGCACCGAGGCCAATTTCTTCTGCAGCATCACCTAACTCAAAGCAGACCAGGAATCGGACTTGAGACCTTCTGGTCTTGATTTCACTGTTTGGCTTGGAAGATTTGCGAGACTTGACAAATTATTCCAACTGACTAATGACATTTATCTCATTATAACAAATTCAGGGATTAAAAAACCTCCCATTATAATAAATGTTTCCCCAGCTCCCAGCTGGACTGCATTAAAGCCTGTGGTGTCCAAACGCGGTTTAAGACAAACTTTGCTGTTAGAGAAAGTGATTTATTCCAGTCTGGTTCCATAGCATCATTCCTACTAAGTTTTCATCTGCCCCATAACAACTATAACAGCTGTAATTATTTTAGCAGTCACAGGAAGTGGACAATGCCGTCAAAAAAACAACAAAAAAAATCCCATATGTGATTCCAGAACAGATTTAAGTGTCGGAAAACCGCAGCAGGCTGTTTCGAGGGAATAACGTGGAGAAAGTAACTCATAATCTCAGGAACATGACCTCCCCTGGCTCATGTTGTAGGAAAGCCATGAAGAGTGTGCAGTGGCAGGAATTGGGGTACCCAGGCTTAAAGCAGCTGGCGGCACCAACTAAAAATGATGTTGATATAGTCACAACACAGCAAGGAGCTTGTCCTGGAAATTGTCCTTGTTCCAAGTTCCAAAGTATGCCATTTAAAGAAGAAAAATGCTTGCATTGTTATGCTGTTCGAAAACGCCTGGAACTTATTCCACAGTGAATTTATTTATTTTTGTGTGTGTCTATGAAGCGGATCGAATGCTTCTCCACCTCCCCCCCCCCCCAATAATCTCAGTGGAATGGTGAGACCCCGTTGCCCTGCCGCAGTTAGTGACCCCTATCGACCAACATTTGAGGACGCGGCCATTGCCACTGGGTGTGAGGGTGAGACCGCCCTTGCAGTCTACTGGATTCTCTTTGCTGGAAGGTGCAGTGGACAGAGCTGATTGATTTAGGCCTGGCCGCCCAGATGCAAAGAATCTGCGGCTGGTGGAAGGCAGCCAGCAATTGTAGAGTAAAACCTTCGGGAGAAGAAAAGGTAAAAATCACAGGCCTCTTACCATTCGATGAAATCATCACGTTTGGACATTGGTTTTAAGTGCTATAGTGTCTACGTGCAAGTGGATTTCATGCCTCTAACAATTGTTTTATAGTTACCTGCTTCCATAACACAAGTAGTAAAATAGTAATTTAAATCATTATATTTGACAGGCACAGAGTAACCCCACTGACCCATTTGTAAAAGTCACTAATGGGTCCTTATGAATAATAAATGCTGGAATGGACCCGTAATACTGCTTTCTGGAAACCAACAGTGAATGTCTCTTAACTTGTAACATTTTAGTTGTATACGGCTACATTATAGACACAGCGTTAGATTAGCAAGTGTATAAACAAGGCTACAACACCCTTAGTGATTCTGGGAACCATTTTATGCCCGTTCACTAGTGTGCTTTGCATGTGTTTTAAGCTGCTTTTAGTGAGGTTTGAAAGATCCATTACTGCAATGGCTCGGTCTGCCCATTTGTCTGATTTCCACTTTCTCTATATTCAGAAGGGAAATAGAGGAAAGTTGAGGAAATAAAAATAAGTTCAATTTGAATATTGGGCAGTCCTGGTTTCAGGAAATGTTAACCAAAATCGATTCTCTAGCTTTTAAATGTAGGAGTTTAGTGATAACTGTTAACAACATTAGAGCAGGAACCCGCAGTCTCACCAGTGAGTAGCTTCAGATGCAATTACCTGATCAAGCATCCGTGCCTCTCAATGCTATCCCAGCTTCTGGTGGACTATTATTCAGATTCCAAATAAAGAAAAAAGTATTATTTGCCATTTTGAAAAAAGTAATCTTCATTTGTTTTATTCATTTGTAATTTTAAAATACTACATAGTATACCACAATATAAAGAACAGCAAAGGATAATCAGTGCTAACCTGGTAAATAGGTAAATTGTTCCATTTAGTGAATTACACACTACACAGTTTATTTAATGGCAACTACCTATAATCGTGAGGAAAATACTAATTGTGAAACCAGCAGCTATAAAATACATTTGAATAGAATTAAAGAACTTGCCTTTAAATAATGCATGATCACATTTTTAGGAGAGTGCTTTATAATTAATAAATAACCTCTGAAGTGAAGTTACTTGTAACATACTAAATGGGAGTCAATTTGTGTACAGCAAAGGCTTTCAGACATTAATGAGATGAATGACTTGTTGGTTTGTACATGGTGGAGTTGGAGTTGGGTGGAGGAAAAGTATTAGCCAGGACACTGATGAGCTGTACAATAGGGTCCCATTGGTCAGACAAATGGTAAACATGATCCAATAGACCAGCCAAAAGATGGCATCTCTGACAACACAGTACTCCTTCAGTACTGCAACTGAATTGTCAGGTTGAAAAGTTCTTGGAAGAGTTGAACTGGATGCTAAGAATCAGAGAAAACTGAAAAATGTTTTTTCTTAAAATATCGGTTTGAGGAAGGTTTTAATGAGATGAAGAGAAGTATTAGAACAGATATGTGGCATGGAGAAGCTTCAGACTGTAGGATTCCTTCATTGGAGGTTCTTGCAGGAACAGTGAGGTGAGAAGGGGATTGATGAGCCACAGACATTAGGGGATCAAGAAGTAAAGACTGACATGGGAGATCATCACGGCTATGGAGTGGCATGACGCCATGGAGAGATTTCACAGCACATTCTTTCACCACTATTTTAACAGTATAGTTAACCCATTTAAGATAAATAGGTCAATGCCACTGTTAAAATAGTAGGCAGTGGAATATCATATTTCCAGGCTTCAAAGCATTTAACGTGGCAATGTTGTCCCTTTTTTATGTAGCCTGTTGTTCTAATTTTGTATTTGATGTAAAAGAAACATAAATTATGGAAAATAGTCCATGAAAAGAAAGACAAATGATGCTGAATGTACAACCTTCCTGGTGCATGCTCAAGCAGGGTAGAAGCTGGGTGTGCTTGTGTTCACTTCAATGTTCTTGGAACAAGAAGAAAATTAGAATAATTTTACCTGAGTACCTACAGGCTCCTGATGGAAAACCACATGCGGTCATGAATGAGTATGGTGTGTGTGTGTATGTATGCATGTTCCTGCATTGATAGTCTATGTGTGTGTGCATGTTTTGTTTGCTTGTATTGTGTGTAGGTATTGGGTGTCAATGGGGGCAGCAGGGATGGTGAGGGAATTTGCTCTGCATGTATCCGCTGAAGACATATTGAACTTAACTCTGGTCTGAATGGTTCGCTAGCTCACCCGATATTGTTTTACATTGGCTGGATTGTGCTGCCTGAAAGGGTTGTGGAAGCAGAGTCAGTAGTAGGTTTCAAAAGGGAATTGGACAAATACTTGCAAAGGAAACATAATTAAGGTCTTTGGGGGCGTGTGTTGTAAGGTTCCTTGTGTATTGGCATCTATAAATGTATAGTAACATTCACGTACAGGTCTGGGAGATGAGGAGCATGTTTAGCAGCATAAATGCTCCGAGCAAGCACATGGATGCCGACTTTCTGGAATCTAATCTAAAACTGCCTGGACACTCGTGAAGTATCAATGCCTATGAAATAAAACTTCAGTATTCGTTCACAGGAGAGGAGAGGGAGTAAGCTAGGGAACATAATGAATAGAGAAACAAAAATTGAAAACAAGACATTTGTGTTGCAGTTGTTATAATTTAGATTTATGTTTGTTCAACAAATAAGTGCCCTTCTGCTCCTGAAAAAGCTAGATTCTCAGGACAGCTGGAGTATCCTTCTATACCTGAGAAGGTCAGCTCAATATTATGGAAGAAAAACATTTGCAGGGAAGAGATTCTAATAACACAACATTGATTTAAACACCGAAGTGATTGTATTTTAAAAGGGCAACCCTATGCTTAATATTTCTCCAAGTGAGACCAGACTTATTCAAGACTTTACAAGTGCTTTGATGCAGAGAGGAGGGGATAGGTATTGTAATAGGCTAATGTGCTGCATATGGCTTGTACTAGGTTGAACAGGAACTGGGTGCTGGCTGTGAATCTTTTTATGTTCATTCCACTTAACCTGGACAAACACAGTTTTCAGAAAGTGCTGGCTAAATTTTAAAGTTTCTTAATTTTATCACCCAAGATGTTAAACGTCAGGTTACATTTGTCAAAAATAGACTTTCAGTTTATTTATAATAATTTGAAATTTTGCATCAAAGGTAGGGTAGTTGTATCTTAAGAATATGCCTGA